GGGCCGGGCGCGGTGGCTCACGCCTGTAATCCCAGCGCTTTGGGAGGCTGAGGCGGGCAGATCACGAGGTCAGGAGATCGAGATTGTCCTGGCGAACACGGTGAAATCCCGTCTCTACTAAAAAAAATACAAAAAAAATTATCTCGACATGGTGGTGGGCGTCTGTAGTCCCAGCTATTCGGGAGGCTGAGAAAGGAGAATGGCATGAACCCAGGAGGCGGAGCTTGTAGTGGGCCGAGATTGCGCCACTGCACTCCAGCCTGGGTGATGACAGAGTGAGACTCCGTCTCAAAATAAAATAAAATAAAATAAAAATAATAAAATAAAATAAAAAACTGAAACAGCTGTATGATGGGTGTGTGGAGTGTGTGGAGTCCCAGACACCCTCAAAACATGCCTGAGGGGCTCTGCGCGGCAGGCGGAGGGGACAAGCTGTGGCCTGGTCTCTGTGCCGCCCTCAGGGCCTGGATCTAGGGTCCCTGGCTGCCCTCTCCTGGTACTCCCGGCCCTTTTCCCTCACCCAGGCCAAGACTAAGGGGCTGCAGAGCGGGGTGGACATCGGCGTCAAGTACTCGGAGAAGCAGGAGCGGAATTTCGATGACGCCACCATGAAGGCCGGCCAGTGTGTCATCGGGCTGCAGGTGGGTGACAGCTCCCCCAGCCCCAGGGACCACAGCACTGGGGGATGACGGTGTTGGGGGACAGCGGCGTTGGGGGACAGCGACGTGGAACCCTGTGCTCCCTCAGGTTCGGGGAGGGACTGGAAACTTGTTGGGTGCAGTCTGACCTCTCCCGCGAACCTCCCTGCAGATGGGCACCAACAAATGCGCCAGCCAGTCGGGCATGACCGCGTACGGCACGAGGAGGCATCTCTATGACCCCAAGAACCATATCCTGCCCCCCATGGACCACTCGACCATCAGCCTCCAGATGGGCACAAACAAGTGTGCGAGCCAGGTGGGGCTCGCCCGGGTGCCCCAGACTCCTCTCCCTGTCCCTCCATAATCTGTGGTCTCGGCCCCTCCCCAAGGCCACCTCTGGCTTCCCTCCAGGCTCTTGGTCTCAGCCCCTTCCCTAGACCACCTCCGGCTTCCCTCCCCACTCTCCGTCTCAGTCCCTTCCCTAGACCACCTCCGACTTCCCTCCCTGCTCTGTGTCTCCGCCTTGGATTTCAACCTCTGTCGTTTCCACCTGGCTGTGGGTGCCTGGGGAAGTTACTACCTCACCCTGTCTCATTTTCCCTTAAGGACTGCCCAAAGGTCCACCGAATAATTCTTCTTTTTTTTTTTTAATCTTTATTTATTTATTTTATTTTATTTATTATTTTTTATTATTATTTATTTTATTTATCTTTATTTTATTTATGTATTTATTTTGAGACAAGATCTCACTCTGTTGTCCAGGCGGGAGCGCAGTGGTGCAATCTCGGCTCACTGCAACCTCCGCCTGTGGGCTCAGGTGATCCCCCAAAATGCTGGGATTACAGGCATGAGCCACTGCACCCAGTGAAGGTCCCCTCCTCTCCACCGTGACCTGCTCCACCCTTCCTTCCTTTCTAGGTGGGCATGACGGCTCCCGGGACGCGGCGGCACATCTATGACACCAAGCTGGGAACCGACAAGTGTGACAACTCCTCCATGTCCCTGCAGATGGGCTACACGCAGGGCGCCAACCAGAGCGGCCAGGTCTTCGGCCTGGGCCGACAGATATATGACCCCAAGTATTGCCCACAAGGCACAGTGGCCGATGGGGCTCCCTCCGGCGCCGGCGACTGCCCGGACCCAGGGGAGGTCCCTGAATATCCCCCTTACTACCAGGAGGAGGCCGGCTACTGAGGCTCCCAGCACGCTCTCTTCCCACATCATCTCCCTGTCTGGATTTTTGGGTTTTTCTGTGTTTTCATCTTTGTTTTTTTTCTTAGCCGGTTCAGTGCTGCCAATCAACCGAGGGTCTGTGAGTGGCAGTGTGGGATCAGGCAGCAGAGCTTTTTTCCCCTTTGCCTTGGGCCTTCGCAGGGCTGAGCCACCGGGCTGTGGGGGAGGGAGGTCAAGGCCATATCCCGATACGTGTAGGGCGTGTAGGGCGAGGGTCCCTGCTGGCACGTTCAGGCTGTGCTGGGGAGAAGAGACTAACTGGTTCCCAAAGGTTTCTGGTTGCCTCGCCTCTTCCCCCTTTTGTCAGCTGAGCAGTTTGTGGTTTCTCTGCAAGTTTCAGGAAGTATTCACAAAAGAAAAATACATTTTGCTTTTTATTCCTGAGGAATGGGGCAGGGACAGTGGAGAAGGTGCTGGGAAATCAGTCACCTGGGAAAGGGGGCCAGGCAATGATGCTAAATATCTCCAGCTCCCGAGTGACTGGATTTCTCCAGGACCAACAGACCTCAGACCCTCAGACCTGCCCCAGGGCCAGGTGGGGAAAGTGAAGGCTGTACGAGGAAGTGAAATTCTGAGTTGTTGGGCTAAGCCTGATCCCCTCTCCATGCTACCCGCCCCCCAACCCACTCTGGCCTCAGTAGGTTTTGTTTTAGTTGTGGCTGTCAGCCAGGCTAGAGTGCAGTAGCGCAATCTTGGCTCACTGCACCTCCACCTCCCGGGCTCAAGCGATTCTCCAGCCTCAGCCTCCCGAGTAGCTGGTACTGCAGGTGCTCCACCACGCCCGGCTAATTTTTGTATTTTTAGTAGAGACAGGGTTTCTCTATGTTGGCCAGGCTGGTCTCGAACTCCTGGCCTCAGATGTGATCCACCTGCCTCGGCCTCCCCAAGTGCTGAGATTATAGGTATGAGTCACCATGCCCGGCCCCTCAGTAGGTTTTAAGGAGCCCCCAACCCTCCTCCTTTCTGGTCTCAACAAGCTATACTGCTCCATCCTCCCCCGGCCACACGCCCCGCCAAGTACTGCACAGGGATCCCCACCCAGGGGCCCTGCTCCATGAGATAATGTGAAATACGATTGTGGACCAAATACAATAAAACCTCTGTTTGTAAGAAGAGAAAGTGGCTGAGAGAGTTGGCGTTGATGAGGGCTTGTTTTGCTTTGATGCTTTTGTGGGTAGAGGGGGGGATCTTGGGGGATGGAGGGATCAAGGGGAAAATGTCCAGCTCACCACTGGGAGGAGGAGTAAAAGCTGAAGCCACAGGTGAGTCTGGGTGGAATGAATGATTTGAAGGACCGGGACTTGGGGTAGAGGGAGAGGCTGGGCTTCCTGGCCAGTTGGAGAGGAGGCAGTTGCCTCAAAGGCTCTCGATGCGCTCCGACTGCACCCTGCCTCACAGCGCAAGCCTCCTGGCCTCAGCCTGGATGTCTCCCCGCCGGCGAACTCCTATTTATCCCCAAAGCCCCAACGGCAGTGCCACCGCCTTCCGCCGCGGGAGCCCTCCCCGCGCTTCTCACTCTCCCCAGCGCTTTCAAAGCTGTGGACCCACACACTCCCATTTCAGCTTCACCTCCAGCCTGTGAAATAAACAACTCTTCCAGAGTGGGAAACGGGTTTTCCTCAAGATCAGGGCAACCATTATGACCTGAGCCTCTAGAATGTTGGCCCCCCTCCTTCTGCCATCGCCTTGTCCAACTGCAGAAACCGAGAAGCGTTCGTGGAATGAATGAACGAACGAATGATTCTAGTGAAACCCCCACTTTACAGACGGACAAGTAGAGTCCCAGAGTCTGGACTAGACTAGAGAGAGCCTGGCCAGCCCCGGGGACAGCAGGGACAGAGGGAACTCCTGCAATCCGGAGCTGCGGTATTGCAGCCGGCTATGCAACGTGGGGAGGCAGCCTGGCTCCCCAAAGACAGCTCAGCCTCTTTCCCGGAGGCCGGTCCGCCTGGGACCAGCCGGGCACCCGGCCACCCTACGGTGATACAGCAAGAACCGCGCGGTCCCTTTAAGAAACCCGGCTCAGCGAGGCCCTTCTGTGATCCCGCCTCCTCCCTCGGCTCGCGCAGCTCCGACGGAGCCGTCCCGTGAGTGACGGGGAGGCCGCCCAATAGCAGCGTGCAGAGGCAAGGGCGTGGCCCGGCGCTGCTAACTGCGCGGGGAAGCTCTGGGCACTTGGCTTAAGTAAGGGCGCCGCGCTCCCTGCCTGCTGCTGGGCGGGGGGAAGGCGGCAAGAGCTGGGGAGCGCCTGGAACGGTGAGAAGGACTCGGAGAGGGAGGAAGCCCCGAGACTCGAGAATGCGGGGTTGGGGCCGGGAGGGATGCACGTTCCCTGGGAATTAGGGGGTCCAGTCTCTGACCCTTCCTTTCCTTCCGGTGAGTGTTGAGGGCGGCTGCATTGACCACTAATTCTCAAGGAGGCCATCGGACATCTAGGACTCTTAAGAGGGCCTTTGCCAATCACACACCTGCAGCCCCCGGCCCGTTAGAACTGCACTCCCCCCTTGCCCTATTTTACAAATGGAGAAACTGAGGCCGCTCCCCCAGATCCTAAGTCCCGTTTGATGTAAAGGAAAGAATCCTGGCGTAAGGGTCTGGGTCCGAGGTCCCGGCTCCGCCCCGGTCACCTTTAGCAACTTCCTGCCCCTCTGTCAGCTTCAGATTCTCCATCTGTGTCAGCGGTGAACCGGCCCATTGTAAAGAGATCAGGAATCGCTGGCTCCAGGAGTCCCTATCCCAGCCCCTTCGCCTGACTCTTTCTCTGGCTCCCGCGGTCCTTCTGAGCGATCATGGTACATAAGGTGTGGGCAGAGCTGGGGTCGTGTCTCCAGCTGTGCGACTGCCTCTTTGGGTGCCTGCATTTTTTCTCTTGGGCCTCGGTTTCCACTTCTGTAGAGTGGGGTGATATCTAGCACTTCCTCTGGGCGTGTGAAATGTCCAGCGCTGCCAATATTTGTCGCTGTTATTTTTGGAGAACAGTGAGGGGAAAGGAACCCTTGCCTGGGCTGGGCCAGGCAGGAGGCTGGGGGTCAGGACCTGGAAGAGGCTTCCAGGTGAGGCTTGGGGTGCAGCCTGGTGACGACAGCGCTAAGCCCAAACTCGGTCCCTGGAGGATTAGAGGATGGTCTTTAAGTCCCCAACTGTCAGCTCTGCGCAGAGCGACAGTCCTGGCAGCCAATGAGATGCGAGGACGGCTGCGGGTGGAGCTCCCATTGGTTTACTCCACCCCTGGGGGTAGCAGAGTCCCTTTATCAAGTGACTAGTGTTTGCCTGACTCTAATCAGAGCTTCCAGGAACGCTGCGCTGTGGGATAGAGGAATGAGGTACAGAGAAGGGCAGAGTTGCCCACAGCTGCATCACACGTCTTCAGCCCGACCGTTGTCCTGACCTCTCTGTCCCATCCCCCGCTCAGTCTCACCATGGCCTTCTGGACACAGCTGATGCTGCTGCTCTGGAAGAATTCCATGTATCGCCGGAGACAGCCGGTAACACCCCGGTGTGCGGCCAGGGCCGGGTGGGCCGGCAGCCCCTACTATCCCCCACCATCTCCCACCTATTCTCCCCCAGGTCCAGCTTCTGGTCGAATTGCTGTGGCCTCTCTTCCTCTTCTTCATCCTGGTGGCTGTTCGCCACTCCCACCCGCCCCTGGAGCACCATGAATGTGAGCCCCCCAGCGGCCAGGCACTTTGCCTGTGTAGGGGAAGGCAGACGGGTCCCCCGAGCACAGGGATCCCCAGTGCATGTCAGGGAGCCTTCACCAGACCGCCAATACATGGCATGGGAGTGAGCTCTCCGTCGCTGGAGGCATACAAGCAGTGCCGGGCGACCCGATGGGGGTGGAGTCAGACAGAGTCCACAGGGCCTCAGCACCGGGCATCTCCCCACAGGCCACTTCCCCAACAAGCCACTGCCATCGGCGGGCACCGTGCCCTGGCTCCAGGGTCTCATCTGTAACATGAACAACACCTGCTTCCCACAGCTGACACTGGGCGAGGAGCCCGGGCGTCTGAGCAACTTCAACAATTCCCTGTGAGCCAGAGGCAGTGGGTGTGGCCGGCCTGCAAACACGGGGCTGCAGTGCCTGCCGGAACCCTGCCTCCTGCCCTCTCTCTGTCCCCAGGGTCTCCCGGCTGCTAGCCGATGCCCGCACTGTGCTGGGAGGGGCCAGTGCCCACAGGACGCTGGCTGGCCTGGGGAAGCTGATCGCCATGCTGAGGGCTGCACCCAGCACAGGTGAGGAGGCCGGGGGGCCTCTGGCAGGGCTGAGCTCTGAGCGTCAACTTGCCCGGCCATGAAATGGGCACAGGGTGGGGGTGGGTGCCTCAGGCCACCGTCCCCCCAGCCCCATGCTCCTGTGTGCTCCTCCCCCAGCCCGGCCTCAACCAACCAAGCAGTCTCCACTGGAACCACCTATGCTGGACGTCGCGGAGCTGCTGACGTCATTGCTGCGCACGGTAGGGTGTGGGGACGGGACCGCGCTGACTTCCTGGGACACTGCACTGGGGATGTCCTGGCACTGCACCACCCCAGGCCAAGGACCTCCCGTTCCAGGCATCCAGGCTCTCCCTGGTCCCTGCAGTGATGCTCCTTGCCCTGTCTGGGCCCAGACAGAGTGTGTCTGACCCGGTGATGAAGACTCGTCTGTGAGATCTCGAATGAGTCCCTGTGTCTCTCAGAGCCTCAGTTTCCCTATTTGTAAAGTGAGGGCTATGATAGTATGGTCTGCCTGGGAACTGGCCAGAGCGCTGGACCCCTAGTGAGCGCTCAAAGTCATTGTCACCCTTGTGGTCTTTCTCCCCAGGAATCCCTGGGGTTGGCACTGGGCCAAGCCCAGGAGCCCTTGCAGAGCTTGTTGGAGGCAGCTGAGGACCTGGCCCAGGAGGTATGAGGCCCCACCCATCCTCAACCCCCATGCAGGCAACGTTGGCAGGCAGCCTGCACCGGGAGGGTCTCGGGCAGCCCGGACACTTCTCTTGGGTGGGTCTTCAGGAGAATTAGCAAGAGAGGGAGAGGCTGCCCCTGACCCAGTGCCCTGCCCTGGTTAGGGCTTGAAGTTGGGATCGCTGCCAGCTCCATCTGGTGACTTCTCTCTAGATCCTGGCACTGCCTAGCCTGGTGGAGCTTCAGGCACTGCTGCACAGACCCCGAGGGACTGGTGGCCCCCTGGAGTTGCTGTCTGAGGCCCTCTGCAGTGCCAGGGGACCTAGCAGCGCAGTGGGCCCCTCCCTCAACTGGTACGAGGCTAGTGACCTGATGGAGCTGGTGAGGCAGGAGCCAGAATCGGCCCTGCCGGACAGCAGCCTGAGTGAGTGACTGACCTTGGTTTCCCCTCCTGGGAAGTGGAGCGGTGGACATGGGGGCAGGGCCTCATGGCACCTCCATCCCAGGCCCCGCCTGCTCAGAGCTGATTGGAGCCCTGGACAACCATCCGCTGTCCCGCCTGCTCTGGAGACGCCTGAAGCCTCTGATCCTGGGGAAGCTGCTGTTTGCACCAGATACACCTTTTACCCGGAAGCTCATGGCCCAGGTGGGGGTAGCCTGGATGCTGGGGCGGGAGGGTGGCAGCCAGAGCCTATCCAGTACCCTCAGTCCAGTGGGCCAAAGCCAGGCCAGAGGGTCATGGAAACTGGGTTTGAAGAAGTAGGAGTTAGCCGATGGAGGGAGATCAGCACGTGCGAAGGATCATTAGTGGAGGGGGTGCTGTCCGCAGGTGAACCGGACCTTTGAGGAGCTGGCCCTGCTGAGGGATGTCCAGGAGGTGTGGGAGGTGCTGGGACCCCAGATCTTCACCTTCATGAACGACAGTTCCAATGTGGCCATGCTGCAGGTGTGTGCGGGGCTGGGGAGGCGAGATATGGCTCCTTGGTGGAGAGGGCAGATGGGCCCGGTGGATGGGAAGGCGGGCTCCATGCAG